CAGATAAAAACTTGATTACATGATTTTGTAATTAATGAAAAACAGTATTTCGGAAAATCCAACAGTAGCTTCTTAATTTCTAAGGCTCTGCTACCAAAGCTTTTCCATTTGGCAAAAAAAGATTTTTCCCATGACACTTAAAGTCCTTAAAATGATTTATTTTTGCACTGGTAACTATTTGCTGAAACAAGCCATTATTCATATCCTTTATCCATGTGGAAATGAACAAATGATCTGCTCTTCATAAACACCTTCCAAAAAAAAAGAGCCAGGTGATAACCTGTTGGCAAATTAGGATGAGGAGTTGACTGGATTAGGATTTGTTGTTTCTTTTGCGTTGGTTTTCTTGCTGATTTTTCTCTTTGGTGGATCAGAAGAAACAAAAATTCATCATTCTAAATGGCAATTGCATACAGTACCTAAAACATACAGAAAAAGACTTGGCCATAGCTGAAATCTTGCATTTGAAATTTAGTCGATGTGAAATTCTCCCTCTAAAGGAAAAACAATGTGTTAAACTGATGTTAACTTCTACTATACTTCGGAATCATTTTATCTTGAAATATTTGTCTGCGCAATTTATTTTCAGTTAGATATTACTGACAGCACTGTTTGAATTACACCAAAGCACTACAACCTAGAGTGTATTTGAATGCATCTTGGTTACTAAGTATTTTTTGATTCATAAACCAACTGTTTTTGCTTTGCATGTGGTAAAGTGACTGTGAGGTTCATAGGAAACTGACTCATAACGGAAAGCTTTCTCCAGCATGCCCTGTAGCAAAAGCACAGTTGCCAAGAAGTTATCTGGGTTCATTTCCATAGCAACCAATCAATATAACTGTTTATTTTCAAAAGGCCTTTCACTGAACTAAGAATCTTATAAACTTCAATATTACTGTTGAAAGTTTAATGTCCTGATTATTTGACCTTTTTTTCAGTACAAGGGGAATAACTTGCTGGTGCTTTTCTTTACACAAAGATTACATTCATTAAAATACATCTTTTTTTCTTTATATAATGGAATTAGAACTGTTTGGTGGAGTGGGGGCAGATGCTTGAGGTTTTTTTGCAGATCATGTACAAATATTTCAAATATCTTGTTTTTTTGAAACAGTGTGCCAGTGTTACACTTTTTTGACGTTCTTACAGGGAGGAAGGGGTATTTGTGGTTTTATGTGAATTTATTTTTACAAGAATTAAAGCATCAATTTCTATAACTGAGGCCTTTTTCTTGTAACTTTTACTTTCTTGTTTGTAAAACTTAAAATCCTGATCATCCTATTTAATGTTTATTAAATTATTTGCCTGAATAAGGCCTAACCTGTGACATGAGTAGACTGAATCTTCCAAAAAAGTAGTGGTTTTGTGCTATTCGCCTTACTTGAACAATGTTATACATACAGTAGTATTGGTATGTTGAAATCAAAATCTTTAAAAGTTTTAAGGACACATTTCTCAAGCAGATGTTACTTATATTTATCTTGTATTTACAAGCCAAAATACATTTAATGTTCACTAAAACATGTTTTACTATAATGTTAGTGATGTCTGGAATACTATGTAACTCTACAATGTAAAGCTGTTTTTACAGCAAAACTGTAGTTTGCTATGGAGGTGGAAAGCTGTTCTGAGAAACAGAAACTGTAATACTGAGAGTTACACAAAGATTTTGGCACATTATTTTGACCCTATGAGTTTACAGAAACTTTTTTTTTTTGTACGAAAAAATATTATTACTTAGTTACTGGAAATGCTACAGATGTAAAAACACTAAAAGAACTTAGCACAATGATGAACAGGAGAAAATGTGATTCTGTTACTGGTAGTCCCAGTGGTATCTTGGGTGATAAGGGAAGGGTGGTAAGGGCAATGACAACTGTCCTACTTGTATGATGAATAGATGATATGAGAAGGGATTTTCTGACCTTTATGGAAGATAAGTGAACACTTTCGGTCTTGTAGCATTGTTTTACAGCATTTTAATGAATAGCAGAAAATCTACACTGCTTTTCGTTTCCAAAAGGACAGTCAAGGCAAATTGTTTTGCAGATACTATTGAATGCACAGTGATGTGCAAACGCAGGCTCCCTATGGATTCATGGCCATAGCTGGAATGCCTGAGAGTGGAGACAGAATGCAGGAAAAGGTTGTCAAAGGATTAAGAATTGTTGCTTTTTGAAACTTAAAAAAGGTTTGTATACTTGCATGTATTTCAGTATTTTCTGGTAAGGTTTAATTTCAGCAATTCTTTACATTCCAGCAGGACAGCCACTACAACAATCACTTTGCTTAGGCAACAGCATTTTTAATTATTCTCTAAATGTAGAGGTTTTTTAAGTATGTGTTAAAACTGAGATTCTTACTCTGTGCTGAAACTAGATATAAAACCTGATTCTGGGATTTTTTTCTGTCTATATGTTTGGGGGTTTTGGGGAAGAATATTACCAGTGTGCCAAAATCTGATGGGTTCAGTGATAGAAAACTTTGACCAACCATATCATTTAGTTAATCTGCATGCAAGTTCACCTTCTTGCTCAGTCTTTTTAGTTCTACAGGCTCCGGAAAGTTAGGGTGACTAGCAGCAGGGTTGAGGCGATGAGCAAGTGTATTGTCTTTCAGTATCAATGCAGTCTGCTGCATCTGGTGCTCACGAGAGGACATTTGGTATTGTTTCATGAGGTTCTAGCATTCTCAGTCTATCCTGATAGAACTGCTGACAGAAAAGTCAGAGTACTTCTTGATGACTTAAGATAGTGACATAAATATCCCCTCTCTATCTGAAGAAAAAACCTGGCTAGTCAGGTCATGTAAAAGGTTTTGCTCCTTTTTTTCCTGCTTGTGGTAAAACTGCTTTTGATGTCCTATGACAGAAGAGGGCATTCTATTTTATTGGTGGTGGTTTTTTTGGTTTGGTTTGGTTTTAGGTTAAATTATTACTTAGGGGAAAAAAGAACTTAAACTCAATTCTGAAGATTTCATTTTTAAGTTACTTTGAGTAAGGCTGGACCATTGTCATCTGCAGAAAAAACAAAGTAGAGTGTTCTCAGGAGTTGCGTTATCTTTAATTACAGCATATGACACCTGCAAATATGCAGACCCTGGATACCCCTGTACTTGGATAGCTGTGTTCTGCTTCACAGTGGGTATCTACTTGACTATTTTCTTCACCTGAGAGTTGAGCAACTATCACATAAGAGCTACAACAGTTATTCTTAGGCCTTTTAAGCATAACAAATGTTAGCAGTTATGAAATATCCCTTTAATCTCCTTAAGGTTGTATTTTACGTGATGACTTCTTGCCTGAGCCTATTTCCAGTACAGGAACTATGTAACTATTTGTAATTTGCTTTTTTTGAATTCCAGTTCTACTTTGGATTTAAAAAACTCATACACTGGCAGTTTGGGGTTTGAATTTTTTTTTTTCCAAGGCACAGGAAAGTTTACAACGTAAAACACAACGGATAAAAGGTAGCTCATGGTGTACAGAGCCTGTTCCTTTCAGTCACATGCTGGAATATGACTCAGTGTTGTGTCATCAGAATCCGTTACTCTGTTGTGGTCATTAAACTGACTCATTGCAAACAGGCTAGTTTACTCCTACCTTAGGAAGTTACAGTGCCTGTGAGCAGTGTAGCTGGCAGTCTCACCAGCACAACAATTCAGAGCTTCTGTGTGAGCCTTGCAATTCATCATTTCTCCATACATGTGGTAAACTCTGACTCCTGCTCATGTGGAGAATCCTGCCTCTGTTAAAGATGTCAAACTGGCTCTTCAATAATAAGATGCTCTAAGAAGTTAATACAAAACACAGTAATGTATCTACTAGAAAAAATGGCAGAAAAAGGACAAATATTGCCCTAATATGTGAAGACTGTACTCAAATGACTACAGTGGTAGAAGAAATTATGACAATTTCTCCACAGTTCCGAGTTTAGGAACGCGGGACTAGACAAGAGCTTCTGATCACTGAGGGAGGTCCCTCAGAATCACAGTCCTTGTCTCCTGTTATTGACAAACTGACAAACCTTGTCTTTAAACACCATAAAATTTTTTTGCTCCTACTTCACTTATTGAAAGACTGTTCTAGAAACTTGCTTTGTGGTGTAAGACCTTGTAATTTTCAGTTTTAAATGGGTGTTTGTTTATGCCTTATTTTGGTCCTAACCACTTTGTATGTGACTAATGTTACTTGGTCTCTAAAGTGTTGGAATCACTAGTGTATTTTTATTATACATAATTTATTCTCATAAGGTACAGGAGTTTTCTAGTTGTCTTCCCTGTACCCATTCATTTTTGAGTCTGTTCTTGCTCAACCAGATTTACTCAAGCAGAATAATGTGTTCCATTTGCACCTTATAAAATAATATCAATGTGGCTGAAAGCATCTTCCATTTTGCCTTTTCTCAGCTACATGATACTATCATGTTGTAATCCTCCTGTGATAACCAAATACATTCAGATATTAGTTGTCTTATTTTGCTCTCAAACAGCAAGGTCCTAGTATGTACCTGAAATTCCTGTTTGTCCCAAGTGCATGAATTTCTATCTGGTTACAGTACATCATCTCCTTTGTACTTTTCCAGGCCTCAAATTTACCTGGTTCTGCTTATATCTCTTTCTCTGTATTGAGCAAACACTTGTCAAATACAGTATCTTGAGCACTTTCCAAAGCTCAGCAGCTTGGAAGACAGTGCTTGGGAGCTAATGTTCAAGAAAACTTCACTCACCTGAAGCAAACTGGAGAAATCATGATCCCATTCATTTGCAAAAGCACTGGCTATTGAATTTTTCTGTAGGTCTTCTACTGTGGTCAAGGTTTGAAACAATTATTAGTCTTGCTACACAAAGAGAAGAATGCAGAATGATGATTCAGACCATGAACTGATTTTGCATGACATGACTACTCTACAACCAGTGTTTGTTCTTGAGCTGTCCTATTTTATTTTATGGTCCTGAATGTATGTGCAAGTAATATGAAACATGTTCTCTTTTTGCAGGGAAGTAGTACAGGCAAACTGTGTCCGCTGGAAGAAAAAGTTCTTATTTATGTGTAAAATCAGTGCCAGTGCCACAACAGGGATTTTGGATACTTGCATTTGCAGGGTGTCTGTAAGGAAGGTAAGTAGCCTTTCTTTTCCCTTCTCTCCTTTTTTCCTGTTCTTTCTTTACTTGTTTTGGTTTAACTTTTAAATGTCTGATAAATTTCATAAAGTAAATTTTAGCTGCAACCATGTCAGGTATTCTTCTAGTAGAAATTTCATAGTAATCTTATTAATTACCATAGTTTGACTAATTAATTGCATTTCTTTTTCTTATGGAAAGAAACACTTATTCCAGCAGGATAGCGAAGTCATCACTCATCAGTCTTTATAAAGTTAGCCCTTGATAGATACTTCTAAGAAGGGTGAGAAGTATCTATCCTAAATTTACTTAAGATATCCTGAAGATACTTCAGCAGTAAACTTAGAAGTCTTGAACTATGCTAAGAATTTTTAATGCAGCACATCCTACTTTTGGGGCTAGACTTTGCAAGAGCCAAATACTGGCTGGCATCAGGCACTCATCCTTCTGCCTCTCCGCAAGATGACAGTCTCCTGCTGGCCTGCACAGAGAACATTATTAACACTAAGTTCTAAATGACAGCAGCACAGCCTAGCAAATGTGTGTTGAGCTATTTTAAAATTAAGATTAGTTTTTGCTTTTCTTAAAAAAAAATAAGAAAACCCAAAACAAACAAAAAACCCAGTCAGTATGTTTAATAGCTTAACGGCATTTCTCTTTTTTCCTAGGAGTTAAAAGGAGGAAAGGCATATGCAAAGGTAAATTGAGATGTATCTAATTTTACCCATTAATTACCTTTTCTTTCTTGTAATTTTATGTCCTTCTAAAGTAATTCCAGAATACTACTCCAATAACCCATGATTTCATTATGTGCATTATAGTGACACAGTGGTGTTGAAACTCTTGATCAGTGTGTTTAATAAATAAATATTATACCACCAGAATGCTTTTTTCTTTCAATTTAGTATGTTAAAAGAGTTGATAAAAGTAAACCCTTCTGCATCTGTTTACTTTTACAAATACAGAAAACTCTCGTTCTTTTTCTTTCTTGAGACTGAAAACAGAATTATGCAGAATTTCACACTCTCAAAGAGCCAAGGCTTTTTGCCTTGGGCCACTCCCATTAAAGGGTATCCTCTTTTTCATATCTGAGAGAAACTGCTGTTGGTGGTACTCAATGCTGTGCATGCAACAAGTACAAGTAATATGCTTACTACTAATTTTGTCATTTTCTTTTAACAGCTGGGATTTGCAGACCTAAATCTTGCAGAGTTTGCTGGATCAGGAAATACCACTCGTCGATGTTTACTGGAAGGTTATGATACCAAAAATACAAGACAGGATAACTCCATTCTCAAAGTAATTTGTTTTCTTTATGATACTTAAACTAATAAAGCAGAGAACAAATATTATTAAACACAATGAAATGTAAAGCATATTTGGTGAACCTCTTTCTAGAAGGAATGCTATTTAAAGTAAAAACATCAGCACTGTTTAGAAAGAATCATTAAAATCCATGCAGTCAAAACAGGATTTGTCCTATTCTTTGTAAAAGAGTTGGATAGCTGTAAAAGAAAAGCTTTCAAACGGTATTCATAGTCTAACAGGAATCGAACAAAGGAATAGGAAAGTATGATGAAAAAGTTAATACATTCATATCTATGTATAGTGATTATATCTTTAAGACTGGACAACTTCCTGTGCAGCTTTATAAGAGTGAATCTCCTAATTGGCTTATTTATGTATAAGCCAGCTTCAACACCTCAATGTCTTCTGGAACTTCCCCTTTTCTGTTTGATAGTAATGAAAGTAATAATTGGGGAGCATTGTTGCAAGAAACCCACCCTGCCGTTCTCTCCCATTAATCCAAGGAGTATAAAAAATGGAGTAAGCTGCATAAACCTCAAAATCATTACATACAGAATGTTACAAGTGAATAAAAAAAATAATAAAAAAGTGAATAAAAAAAATTTCCAAGACACTAGGATTAATTTCTGACACTACTGAACACACTGTTTAAGCATGGACTATGTGATTTCTTAAAGACAGACTTTAAAAAGAAAACTTTTTAATTGATGGCTTTGACCCAGCTAGCAAGCCTGCTCACTGAATTGTTGTCCTACAGCATTATTTACCCTTTTGTGGTTTTATTTACCTCTGGTGTTAGCACAACCAGCTCTTGTATGCTAGCTGTTTGCTAAACACTCTCGGCAAAGAACATAATTCAGCACCCACTATTTTAAACAATATTCTGTTTGCTCATTAATCTTTTAGATTTCCTGTCTCTTTATTTTTTCCCTTAAAGCCATTTTAAGCTTAATTAATTAATTAAAGCCATCTTAACTATTAATGATTCTAAGAGTCTTCTTGATCTATGTATCTTTTGCAGAATCTTGTACATGTAACTATGTTACCTTAAATGTCATTTTGTGTTGTCTGCATGTGTACTAGGAAAAAAAAGCTAGCTTTTTTGCATACGTGTATTTACTTGCATATGTGAAGATGTCATTTTGTTTTAATTACATGTAAGATTTGTGGCAAGTGTAAGGTAGTGACATGACCATGTATCAGAGACCAACTCCATTTCTCTTCTTACAGTGGGTTTTTGTTTTATTCATGTGTAGGTTTTGATCAATATGCAGCTAATGTCTGGAGACCCATGCTTTAAAACGTAAGTTTAAAAAAAAAAATCTGTGCGGGATAGTGTTTTGGTCATACATTCCATGTTCAGAATTACACTTCTAAGTTGCATTTATAAATCTTTCCAATCTGACAACAATATTAACAAAAAAAAAAAGTTAGAAACAAATGGGATGGTAGCTGAATAATGGCTAACATGGCAAAAATAACAGTAGAAGTCTCATAATTCTCCTTGCTGCTGAATACTTAGTATATTTTCTAGCAAACAATACTAGCCTGCAAACCTGTAAATAAATAAATAATGAAAACAAAAACCATATAGGAAACTGTTCCTGCTGTGAGGTTATATAATTATTCTTGGTATGGGGTGATTTGATTAATACTTGTGTTTGGAAAATGTGCTTTTATACCTTTTATTCACAAGTCTCAGGTGATTTTAAAAGATTTATAAACAAAAAAACCAAAACAAAATAAGAACTAGAAAAACCCACCAAACCCAAACCCAAAACCAGAAGTGTGATATGAGTTAGTACAAGAGAAAACACTTACAGATATTTCTCTGTTAGCAAAGACATTATGCAACTTAGTAAAAGATGCAAGAGGTAACATCTGAGGGGAGAGGTAGCTAGGAAAATACAGAGCGATGTATTCAGGATCCTTTGGCCTCATTGTCCTTAATCTATAGTTAATGAAATGATATATTTTCGCCAGAGCATGTTAGCTTCCATAACTAACCACAGAACAGACAAACTGTGCAGGCTAAGGAAAAACCTAGTCATGAGTAAGATGAAATTGTTGCTTTCTTTCTAATGGGCCATTTTGTTACGGGACACCTAAGCTGAGTGGATAGCTACGCTGAAACAGTGCCAGTGGCTACTGCTAACCATGACTTAAGTATCCTAATCAGTAGGAAGTGAAGAGCTCCCATGTCATTTGTATTATAAGAGATACTTTATAACAACCTGAAAGCCATTAATTCTAAGGATAGGCTTAGAAATATGTATAGAATCTGCTTCCATGAATGCAGTGTGGAAAACTCCTCAGTACTTGCCAAGATTCTTAATGCCATTGCTTTTCTGTAATTCACAATGTTGGTAGACTGGGTTCTTTGAAGTGTATGTGCTTTACAGTTCAATGTCAATCTTTTCTCGTTTTACATGACAGTGTATGGCAATTTTGTTTAGATCATGTTTAAATCAACTTAGTTGTATTTTACTTGTCACAAGATATTTAGGGAAGGGTTGATTACATAATTCCTTCAAAATAAACTTGATTCTAGTTTAACTCAATTTTTTCTACAGTTCCCTTCATTGACCACACTGTTATACTGAAACTAGAAGACAGAATCAAAATTCTTACCATAATATGTGATTACGCTGTGGAACTCCTTGCGTTGTGAATACTAAAAGCTCAAGAAAAAATTAAAACAAATTCCTGAATGAAAAATTATTGCAGGCTATTCATCATAAAACATCAAGTGCTCAAGCACTTACAAATGAGATACTGGAAGAATATTCAGGAGATGGGTTACTACCTGTGTCATGTTCTCTCAGCATCTGTTGTTTGCTGCTGAAAGAAACAGGACACAAGGCTAGACAGACCTTTAGTCTGAGACAACATCCTTGTTCTCATGTTGGCCCTTTCAAAAACAATCTAAAGCAGAATTCCAAGTATCACATATAGCTTGAAAAGAAAAAATGAGTTTAAGGAAAATAATCTGGAAAAAACCTGCTAGCTTCACTCCTGTTACGTCAATCTCAACTTTTTGTATAGGTTTGCAACCTTCCTTTATACTTTCAGACCTTACATTTCATCTAAGGTATCTGCCATTGTAAAGATACAGTGCTTGCTTACAAACTGCTACACTCAAACGCTTTTACTTCAGTATGGATTATGGTTTTTATTCAAAATATTATCATAAACTGATTTTAAATTCATCTCTTATCAGATTAATGTAAGCAATCAATGTCCCTCTTAATAATCCAATGACTACGGACAACAATCTCATGCACACTTCACCTGTAGCAGTGAACATATATTCAAGTCTTCTTTAAGTTAAAAAGATTGCAATTAAAGCGAAATGAGGCTGCAGCTGCAAGAAAAGCAGCACTGATCTCTTAACTCAGTCTCAGGTACAAGTATGAATTAGCTTATGATTTGTAGGTTTTAGCTAGTTTGAGGTAGGTTCTGGTGTAATTAGGACAATCAAGAACTCGAGTAGCAACTCGAGACCTTGTGCATTATTGCTGTAGCTGTGTCCTTACCATCGTTTCTGAGGAAATCTGAGAATGCTGCTTGCATCAGTCTAGCTCAGATGATTCACCACAGGAACTCTTCAGTGTCTGCTTGCACCATTAAAGACCCTTTCTGCTCTCCTAACCTTCAAAACGAACAGAATGCTGTAAAAGCTCATCTTGTGCTTACTGAATAAATAGTAAGATGGCATTAGCTGAATTTGATTGGGCAAAGCTTTTCTGTGTTGCTAGTTATTTAGCCCCTCTTGATTTACTTTTGAGTCAGAGCTATTAACAAACACATCACTGGTACTGATAAACAATTTCTCAAAGGCATCTAACTAATCATTAACCCTGCATACTAATAAACAATGTGTTCCTGTTCTTACTGGCTGGTACTGAAGGAGTTCAAATTAGTACCTAAATAGTTTTCTAGCTCCCTAGGAAAAAATCTCTAACTGAAATTATCCAGACTTGGCATTTTCTTACAAACTGATGATATAACCATCTCCTGGAAAGTAAACTTTCAACACAAGCAGAACAAAAAATTTATCTAATCCAGATGTCCTTCACAGAAGAAAAAAAAATAAACCTTAAAGCAATTACACGACTGAAATCAGCTACATATTTTATGAGGCAGCTTAGGAGGCTTGGTGTTTGATCTGGGGTGACATCCCTGAAAGCATTCAGTTCTTGCTTTCCTAACTAAGATAGGAAGTCACACAAGCATTGTATTTCTAGAAGCACTTTTTCTTTCTTTTCTTTAAAACACAAGGAGTGATATGTTACTTTACAAAGACAATATTTACTGAATATGTCAAATCTAAAAATGTTTAAAAAATCCATTTATATGCAGACTAATAGTCTGTTCCCAAAGTCAAAAATAACAAAGCATTAGAAAAACTGTAGGTAGGTAACATCTTGAAACGTATTTTAGTTGTACTTCCTTGCAAGAGAAGGTTACTTTAACTTTGCCATTTTCTAATTAGATTCTTTTGTACTAGTAAAACACAAACTTAAGAGGTCTAGTAATTTAAAAATATCCCTTTATGTCTTGGTATAAACTGAAACAAGCATTTAACCATTACACAAAACTTTTAAAATACTGAACCAAATATAAAATATGTTGTGCATGATGCTCTTTTTATTTTGCAGGAGGTAGAATGCAGAGTGGAATACACGGAGATGGTAACATTGGCCCCACTATTAGGAGAGGAAGGGTTGCAGCCCAGAATCTCCTCAGGTCTTGTAACAGAGATAAAACAAAGAACATCACAGTGTACAAGTCAAGCAGGCCAACTGTTGTTGCATGGTGTTTCATTTCTTAAACTTACCATCTTGTCATGTATTCCATGAAGTACTGTATTGTATATATTCTTAGCATGTAAATCAGCCTAGTTCATAGACTTAAATAATTAAGAACTTGAAAACAAGCACATATCACTCCATTAACCATCAAAAAAGGAAAAGACTTTCCAAGGAACCTGAAGGGTTGAGAGCTGAGCAGATTGATTTTATTTCTATATTTTCCCTTTTTTTATCTTTTTAACAGGGGGCTAGGTACCGTATTTTCAGAAAAAAAAGTCACAAGCATATTAACTTGAAGCATAGTATAAATTATGCCAACTTACTTGAAAAATCTGTGCTGATCAATTTGAAGGAATTACAGCAGAATTAACGACGTAAGTACAACGAAACTTAACCACCTTTTTCTTACAGGCCTCCTTCCACAGGAATGTCTATAGCAATTGCTGGAGAATCAGAACCTCTTAATGAAGACAGGAAAGGTGGAGAAAACTTAAAAGTAGTACATCTGGGCATAGCAGGTATAAAATAATGCTCTTAATTTCTCAGTTCTTTTATAATGGCTTCATAGCTTCAAGGAGATGTACAAAATCTTAAAGGGATGATGACAGTTGGCCCACAAAGGGACCTTCTTTGGTTATTTGTTGAGACACACTCTCCTAGATGACATCAGTGGAATCTCTCTTTTTTACTTTTGTAACAGTTTATTTAATGGAAAGATCAGAAATTTGACTGATAGTTTACCTTCTTTTTAACATTTTAAATATTACATGTTCTGTGTGACACATTTTTTGATTGTTGTGGAATTGTATTTTGAGTGAGCATTTAATCTGGCCCTTGATTTACAATTTACAAATCATCGGGATATGTGTAACTTAGAGTGGTAAATTTTGAGTGGTAAAAGTTCTAAGTATTGTTAAAAACTGAAGTGGTTACTCTGAAATTCAGACTATTATAAAAAAAATACCATTAAACCACTCTATTACAAGTTGGAATTTGGCAGGGGGTTTGTGGGTTTTGTTTTTGTGAGATGTTTCATTTTCTGTGTTTTTTTTACAAGCTTCAGATTCTTAAAAAGCTCATTAGTTATTAGTTTCCACCATACACAGCTTAAGTTGTATTAACCACAGTTACTTTTTCAGCCAGAAAACATCTATCATACCATTCTACTATAATACCAAGGAAAGCATGGTAATCTCTTCAATGTCAACAGTAGACAAACCTAGAGTAACATTTCATGTAAATATTTCTAATCCAATGGTACTCTGTTTTACTTGGACAGAAACATGATACTTCTATATTTTTTTTAAGGAATGCGTATTTGTTAACATCCATGGTATTTTTGCAGCACTTGACTCTTCAAAGGGTTTGTAGAAGAGCAGTGTCAAATCCCTAATCCTTCTGGGAAATCAGACATTTGAGTCTAATCACAATTACAGACAAAGAAACAACAAAGCTGGCTTTAGCAACAGTATAACAGTATCTGATTTGCACATGTTGCAGATGTCTCGTCAAAGAGTGCCTCAGTCCCAGATGAACTTGGTGCATGTGGACATTCCAGAACATCAAGCTATGCAAGTCAGCAGTCAAAACTGTCAGGTAGCTGTTAACAATTTTGTTGTGAATTTTAGGGTTTATTTACTTTCATAGTTCTAGACTGTAGTAAAGTATACTTTATGTGTTTGAAGTTGAAAGGTTTTCCTAGGCATTTCAGGTGTGTGGAGGGTAACATTTTTTCCTCTTAAAAGCACAATGAATTATCTGTTCAGATGTGAGACAACTTCTTCCCTTAGCTCCATCCAATTAATGATACATCTGAATGATATTTTTACCTCTTCCATGTGTAAAAACAAGTAACACAGAAATGAAGACTTAGCTCTAAAAGCTGAAGTGGAAGTAATGACACCAAGTCATTATATTTGTTAGGAAGCAGGAGTTAGAACAAAAAGGAAACAGCATGTGCTAGAATACAAAACACAAAGTGGATTGCCTAGCTGATGTATGCACATGCATTCCAAGGCTTTTGAAGTGTCTTTACAAAAAAAGAAAAAATTCTGCTTTCAGGATGGTAAAATATAAGTAATGATCTTGGCCCTCAAGAACATGCCTGACCTAGCTCTCCTGCACTTTCCCAACAGGATACAGCACATGTCACTCTAGAGCATCCAGTCTATCTGAACTCTCTCACAGGAGAAACACCTCAGAGGGTAGTACCTCAACAGGAATTGGAAGTATTCTGGAGCCATGTGACGAGTCTGAGCCAAAAGTAACTAATATCGACACATCTGTTAAAGATGCACCATCAGAAAAAGTCTGCAGGTACCTTTGACAGCCTTACCTAGCAGAAGTAAAGTACAATTTACTGTATCACTTCTAAGAGCCTAAATATATTTATTTTTGCAGACATCCTGTAAAACAAGACTCTGTGGAGTCACAGCTGAAGAGGGTTGATGCTACCAGAGTTGATGCTGATGATATAGTTGAAAAAATACTCCAGAGTCAAGACTTCAGTTTAGACTCAAGTGCAGAAGGTATGGAAATAAATAAGGAAGCTTAGGGGGTTTCCCTAAGCACATTACAGGCCCTAGGAAAATCCACTCTCTTTGTAGTCCCTGTTGCTTGTAGTCATAAGGACAGTGCACATGAATCACTAGATTTTCTCCTTTATCCTGTCTCCCAGAAGTTGAAAGGCATGACTTAGGTAACTTTGGCAGAAAATTACTTTAAGCCTAGAAGGAAAAAAGCAGGGGCAAATCTACCTACAAAGGTAGTTCCTCCAACATACACCATATGAAGTTTGGTTCCTCATTACTTAAAGTATTTGCATCTCAGTGTATCAGTTACAAAACGGGTAGATTTAAAATGATGTAGTTTCACTAAGGCAATATTAAAGGAAGCTAACATGTTAATTCCCCTGCATTTTAGAAGAAGGCTTAAGATTATTTGTGGGCCCTGGTGGAAGCACTTCTTTTGGAAGCCATCATCTACCTAACAGGTATGTAGCATTAACAACCAATCCATAAATAATACGCAACAAAAATGCATCTTATACAGTTGTTCTGTACATACATCATTAATCATTGTATCTTTCTATTCTGTATCATTTAAAAGCACCAAAAGAACTAGATTTCCAGGCTTTAAAACAAAGCACATAGGTTAGTTCCAAAACAGAACTGATGTGCCAGCATTAGAATTATAACTTCCAGAGGTTCTGAAGAGTTTCAGTTCCAAAGTTTTCAGAACTGAGCAGTGTTTCAGTATGGACACAGGAAACAGGCACCAGTTTGAAATCTTAGCTCTACAGACTTACTACATCACTCTCTGGAGCTGGAAGAAAGTCTGAAGTGTTTTCTTACACATTTGCCTTTACAATATCCAGCTTTATACATCCTCCTGATAACAAGCCTGATTTTCTTCACTTTAATTTTGCTCACAACTCCTTCTGTTTCTCTACACTACACTATTCCTGATTCAAGGTCTTGTTCATCTTTCAACTACTGGTAGCCCTAAACTCTCTTCTTTAATTATCTGCTTCAGATTATTTTCTTGTAGTTGTTTTAGGAGAGATATTTTTCCTGTATCTTATCATAAGACCATCACTGTTGTTTTAAATACATTTATCTGTCTATGTGTAAATATATATATATAAGACAATTATCAGCATATGATATGACTGGGGTCAGAGCATAATGTTTAAGGAACTAAAGAGAGGCCCAACAATAACTTCTTCTCAGTAAGATTATTTATAATTCATTTTTACTGCAGTATAACACAAAACACTTTCATGTATTAAACTGTAGGTTACTCAGAGGCATGCTAATTCCATGTATTTTCCACCCTTCACATGTAGCTATTGTGGTACTAGCTGCTCCGTTGTTTTTTTTTGGGGGGGGGGAGGTGGCTATTTGGGGTTTTTTAAACTCTGAATTCACTGGTTTGCGACACTTGCTGTTTAGCTTCCAATTAAATTGCAACTGAATTAACTTTTCCCAAACATTCTTTCAGAGTAGGATCTGGAGCGTATGAGCAAGTGGTGATAAAACGCTAGACTAGAATGACAAACAAGAGGAAAACTCAGGGCTCTGGCATTGGAACTTGGTGGTGTTTGTTCTGTTGCAAAAGTTGCCAAAGCCAAGATCAACTCAATGTGGTCTTTTCTTGAAAGGAAATGGAATGTCTCTTGCTCACAGAGCTTCATCTTCTGTGGTATGAAGGCAATGTATAGCTATGTATACCTTGTGCAAGTAGTTGGACTGTTTTTTAAGATCCACTTGATGTTAGTGGAATTGCCTGCTCTTTAAGTTGTGCAAAACGTTTTTAGAAGCATGATAAAATGAGATTTCATTATTTCATACAAGAGATCATTTGTGGTGATGTACTTTGTTCATAGCTTCTTTTCTAGAGAAGATTCTTAAAGCTGGTCTTAAATGAACCTGAAGAAATTAATTACTCAATTTGATCCTACCTGCCATTTTAGTCTTACAGAACATAACTACTTCTATCAAGTCAACATTATTAAGTCAAAGTTCAGGCCTCCACAAAATAGCATAGCTATGTTTTAACATAACAAAAACCTCTTAAAAGTACTGATCATAAATTCATTATAAGGTTGAACTGTAGAGGTGAACTTCACATGCATTTAAAAGGAAAAAAAAAACAAACCAAAAACCAAAACATAATAGATCTAAAACAGGCAGTGACCAGTTCTGTTAAGTGTAAATGAAGTCTAAAGGCTTTTAATGCATGAAACTTGACATCTGTTTTCACGCAAGTGACAAAAGAAGTGGGATTTCACATAAAATACTAAGGCACAGTAGCGTATTATCAAGAAAGCTGGCTTGATTGTTAAGTCTGGATTTCAAAAGCTGCTTCCACAGAAACTCAAATAATGCATGAACCTTGACATTCAATGGGATAGTACTGTTTACAAACCTAGTCAGTAGTTTACTACCACTTAGAACTTTTTATTGTAGCTAAATCCTTCACAGTTAGTGCTTTGCTTACGTGTTGAATGTGCCTTGCGGGATTAGGGAGGTATAGGGAAATTAAACCATTTACTAAGCAATTTTAGCTTTAAAACTAGGTAAACATCTATACTATTATCGGTATAACTTAAGAGAAGCACTTTATTGTAGACATACTCTATACTCTGAAAAAGTCTTACTGTGCAACAAATTTGTTGAACATTTCTTCCTTATCTGTCCACTGTTACTTTAAGGTCAATGTACTGTATTTAAATTTGCACAAATAATGATTTGCCTGACAGGCAAGAAAGCTGAAAGCTCCCTTAAAATTTTCAATAAGAAATATGAAAGACTCCATTTTGAAAGGGATGTGGTAGGCGACAGTTCTCATTCAGGCTTGGTGCTACTGTACTTAATTGTAAACTGCAAATTACTCATTTATTGGTAAGGCTTGAATAAAAATACAAATAGTGTGGAGATTTCTGAAAGTCCTGAATGTTTCAAAAATCTACTCTTTGACAACCTTTCATTGAAGTATAAGTAGGCCATATTTAATAGATTATATTAGGAAAAGCAGGCTTAGTTTTCCATAAATCCATAGAAGAATTATTACACCAATTTTTGGTTGGGGGGGTAAGGAAATTTCAGATTTTAAAGCCTGAGTACTGTTACTGAATATGATTAATATAAGCTATTTCTCAGATATGGTACTTAAATACTTTTATTTCCTACTGTTAATTATAATCTTTTTACAGTGTTTTAATGGGCAAAATAATTAATACAAAGGTTATATTTTAGCTGCTCTTAATAGAAATGTGGTATTATCCGTTTCTGTCCTCCACAGGAATTTTAAAGAGAAACTACGTAACTGCTAATATACTATATATCTCCCAGAAAATAGTTTCTTTTCCTCTTACATAACTATTTTGTACCAAAAGAATCCTACTGCAAGCCAAAAGATGCATGATACTTCAATAAATTATTTGCTTTTAGCACTCTTGAACACTGCTACACTTGGTGGTAAATTTATTAAAACTAATAGTAGTTTAGATGGTAGCTTACTTAAGTTTACTAGGAAAAACAGGCATAGTTTGAAGAAAGCAGATTTTTAAAAAACATTGTATAGCCATTCATGCAATCCTTAAGGGTATTTCCATACCCTAGATTTTAACATTCTATGTTAAAAGACATAGCTAACTGCCACACATTGGGTATTTTGTTTACTGGAAACCAATTATTTTCTTGCCTGAGCAGATCTTTTAAATAGGATGGAAGTTTACATGGAAATCAAGCTTTAATAAAACTGTATCCTAGTAATTTATTGTTCTGACTTACAGCTACAACTCTATGAAGTGACTCTCTGATTGTGCATATTTTAAGTGGAATATAACCTTTATATTTAGATGTAGGATTTTTTTTGTAAACTGTGTTATAAGAATACTGGAGACTCATTTAGGAAACTGTTCAAGAAGTATTGGTGTTTTTTTTTTCACTGTATTTAAATGCAAATCTCTCAGACATTCAATAAACTCATGTCTTCAGCTTGGAATCTGTTACTTCATTCTGTCCTTTTTTAATGAAAAAATTATTAATTTAACTGGAAGTTAGTCTCTATCTCAGCTTCCCTACAGCTTTTCAACTTTGAAGCTTACTAAACTTCATCTCTGGTCCCCAAAGTATTTAACAGCACTGTTATTAGTACATAGTTATTTATCTGTCTCTCAGAGAGGAAAAGTGATATGTCAGTTTACACAAATGAAAAATCAAATTTAAAGTGTGAGGCATAGCATTAAGTTATTGTTAAGCAGACTTTACAACTAGCAGTATTTTGGGAAAGTGAGGGTACTCTATATAGACCCTCCTGACAAAATCAATCCTCCTCAGTGAAGTGTACAGACTTGCTACTACTTAACTTTTTATGCAGTTTGTATAACTTTGTAAATTACTTTCTTATTTATCTAACTTATTTGGAGTATTTTCTCATCAATGTATTCAAAAATAACCAAGCCTTTTTGTACTGCAGTAAGCACCTGTTCTTAAAAAAAAAAAACTAGACTGGTGAAAATTGCAGCTAATTTTAATACAAACTGTTTGGCACTCGGATCAGTTCAATAATCAACACATTGTATATAGCAAGGATTAAAAGTAGTAACTGTACCACATACAACCAACTCTAGTCTCCACTGTCTTTCAGTACAAAGAAGAAGACAATGTTTCCAAAATTTCAGCAGAATATCCCAGAATTTCTTTTGTAGTTGTTGTCTCTCTTCTGGTTTTATGAATCAACAGGTTCCTTACAGGATAAAAGGCAAATTTCATCAGCAAACTAATACTTCAGTTTAGGATCTCACAGTGGAGAGTTCTCCAGAAGCACAAAGTATACATGTATATACATAAAATACTCATAGCTGCTAGTCACTTCACTGAATACCAGCAGCTGCAAATATAATCACTAAGGGTTTTATTAAAATGTTTTGCTTTTTCTACCTCCATGCTTTCAGACTGTTTTAGTGACATTTATATTGTAAAGGAAATGTGTCATTTAGACATTTTTTTAGTCTGGAAGGAAAACATCTCGTGAATGAAAATAAGGCTATGCACCAATGTTACATACACACATATGCCATATTATATATGTGCATATATATGGCAATGGGAAAACCATTGTTGTGATATGGGATAAGATTTTCCCTTGATACTACATAAAAAAAAAAGCAGAGATGAAGTACTTCAAATACTGTCACTGAACACCAGTGGATTTTATAGACATTCTGCCATGAGAAAACAGAGACAAAGATTAGCATAGGAAACGTTATGTTCTGTAATTCTTGAAGCAAAATGAGTAGCTCTGCCTTCTCCCCACCCAACTGCTCATTCTGGCCTCCTCTCATCTTCCCACTGCAAGTTTCTGTGACAGATTACTTGATTCAATTCCCTGTGTGGCCTCACAGCAGGATCTGCCAAAGCAAAACACCTCATAATATGCCTGTTAACATTTCTGTGGGACCGGCAATTCCCATTACTGCTTCCTTGTTAAAAGCTAGAAAACAGGAACTAACTGTTTGGGGCGTTTTTATGTGAAATCTCCAAGCAAATGCTAGCAAACCTTTGCCCAACTACAGAACTCTATGTACAAGTAAAAAGTCCCAACAACTAACCATTATGAGTCACACAAATTCCAGTTGTAACTGAATGATCCAAGCCTCCCTTACCAATAAAAAGATAACAAGCATGAAATAGAGTCTAAAACCATGAAAACCCATGGCCAGCAGGACAGAAACACAGAGGTTCACCAGCTACCACATCCATGTGTTTGAGAACTCTCTGGTGGAGACAGACAATTAACTCCTCCAGCTCTCTCCACTAGGCTGCAGGGGTTTATTTATTTAGATAACTGAAGCAGTATCTTTAGGATTTATTTATACCACTTCCTCACTTTGTTGTTGTTAACTTAAAACAGCGATAAGAAACATTCTGTTCAGTTATTTGACCTATTGACTTGCATGATAACCTATCAAGTTATACCCGTTATAGTCAAAGTACTGCACTATTTTTTTGGTTTTCTGTGGTCTGGGGTTGCTTTTGGGATTTTTGGGTTGTGGGGAGTGGTGTGGTTTTGTTTGTTTGGGTTGTTTTATTTTGTGTGTGGGTTTTTTTTTTTGTAGTGGTGGGTTTATTTTTATTCTACTTTATTTGGTTTTTAAAGTTTTGAAAAAACTAAGGGTGACCTGAGATGTGTGTGCCATCTCCTGGTCAGTGATATTGTCACAGCCATTCTAGAACATTTCACCTTCATTACCTTCCTTTCAGCATGCTCATTTGAGACACCAGAATTCACCTTTTGTCAGTTTCAAACTGCAAGAAGTGAGAGACAATAAGTACTGTGGTTATTCACAAATATACATAATAGTTTAATCAAAAGACCAACCTGACAATGAAGAGCTATGCACAGTGAATCCTGTGAAACAGTTTAACTGCTCCTGAAAAAGCTGTTCAGTTCTTTAACAAAAAACTTACTTAACATTGATTTAAGCCAGTGGAAACCTGGTAAGCTAACACACAAAATAGCTTATTTCAATAAAAAACAGCAATCTCAATTTAAATGTTTATTCTCTAAATAATACTTTTGTATATGCTATGTAATAGCATCTTCAGTTTGATAGGTATACTAACACATAGGTATACTAACAAACATTGAACACATGAGGCCAAACATCTGCAATCTGACTTCAAACCTCTCCCAGGAAAGGCATAAGCAAGAACATTAAAGATTGGCATTTGCTATAGCTTAGCTATCATTAAAAACTAAACTAACAAGGGGAAGAGGACCCATGAACCCCTTAAAAACTGGATTACTGTTTAGGCCCCTTCACATTAGTCTATCAAATATTCACATAAACCATTTTCCAAGTGTAGCTACAAAGAGGGTACACTGTTGTGGAAAACCAAGCAGGTATTTGTATGCAGTTGTCAGTTCACAAGACAGTCCTGTAGTTAGACATTACCCAAATACAAAATTCAAAGCAAGTATCATTCCAAATCTGATGGAAGAAGAGGAGCATCTCTTTTCCTTATTTTGAAGTGATCAATCATGCTACAAAGTACACTAAACATAGAATGTTTCACAAGGAAACAACACAGGAAGAAGTACGATTGTAAAAAAAGAAATCTTTTAACTATAATAAACCATAAAGTGAACTGCAGAGATCTCTTCTCATAATAAACCAATGCAACTCTCAAACAACTATACTTCTTAGTGTCCTAAAAATATTTACCAATTCTGAATTTTACACTTATGTTAACATACCAACTATGGCAAGTTCATATGACAATGTAAAAAGAGTAAAACCATTCTAAATATTGTATTAAAGATGAATTCTTAAAAATCTAAATTGAGTTTTTTCATAACTGCTGTCCAAAGGGCATTCAGAAGGGAAGGAGCAGGAGATGGGGAGTGGGGCCTTCAAGGCAATGGGACAACTGCTTCTCCATTACATGAATCCTAACTTCTGAGTGGATGCTTCCATCAAACCACAGTCCTCACCTGATTTCTCACATAAATCTGGTTTATAACAGCTGTACATCAACTGCTGAGAATTTCATTCCTGGCACATGCACCCTTCATGCTTTGTAACTGGGGGAGATTCATCAATAAGTCAATAGTAAAGTCACTTCTGAGCCATTAACACATACTAGCACTATCAGGTCTACCCTTGCTTCTTACACCATTTAATTACAGAGCACTGCAGATCTTTCCCTGATTCTCAACCTATTACAGATTCTGTACCATTTCTCAACTTAGAGAATTACAGGTGCCTTTTCCCTTTATGTCTAACCTTTTCCTTAATGATGAGAAGGAAATTAAAAAACTGAGAAGGTAGAATGCACCTATATTCAAGAAACAGCCCTTACACAGAATTTGTTTTCAGGAAGTTGTGAAACTTGCATGTTTCATAAACGTGGAACCAGTTCTGATAACAGCAGCTCATTCCAAGCTGCCAATGACATTGTGAAGCATGCACAAAATAAGGCCTTTTAGTTAACCATCTCTTTACTCATAAGAAACACTAAGTAGAGGTATTAAAATTACTGGTGAAAAAATCTGGGTATCCAAAGAAGCTTAATAACTGCAGTGCTTTGCTTCCTGTATGAAAAAGCCAATCTTAGGAAGACACAAATTTTGAAGGATGCACAAGCCCATCATCTAACATTTGCTTACTGTGTATTACACATGCAGTTCAGCTCTACTTAAGTCACCTTAGCCAAGCCAGTAAGCTCAACTATTTCTAACATGTCTGCCTTTCACGTCTGCTGAATTTAAGACTTTTTTAGACAACAGCTATATGAGGAAATAGAAAATTTTTCCAAGTGCAAAGGGGCCAGGTCAGCATTCAGTGACAGAACTTTTTGTTTGGGTTTTTTTTTTTTGTTTCCTTTTTAAACAGAGTAGTCAAAGATACCAGTTTCAAATAAATTAATTTCAGCTTCTGGAAAGCTACATGATGCAAGTTATTTCCCAAGGAGCAGTTACCAAGAACCTGGATAAAACAACAGGGCTAAATCTACCTTTTATTCCAACCTTACATCCAACATCATGGTACTCTTCCCAAGGATGCAATTTACTGAACAAGAAGCATTTGCAGCATATTCCAATTTATCAGAACAGTATCTGGTTTTCACAAAGGCCAAGTATGGGCTTATCTTGAAAGCAGCATCTAAAAATTATATCTTATTCAGGAAAAACTTGTCAAACCTACGCCCAAGTCATATTATTCAGCACAATAATATAATTGTGTTATTAACTATGCTTAGAACTAACAAAAGATTATCAAAACCAATCTAGTCATGACAGCTACAATACGATAATAGAAAACAAGGAGAAATACTTAAACTTTTTCTTCACAGGAGTTAATTCCCCGATTTTAGCCTGATGCTCTACTTGAAAACCTTATGAGTTACTGTGATCTTTGTCAGAAGCACTCATCTTCACTACATGAGAGAGGTGCTGATGGATGAATACTGGAAAGTTTATAAAAGATTTTTTCGTTCTAGTTCACATACAAAACACACCGTTTCACTGACAGTTAAAAAGTATTTCATTATTTTAACAACTTCATGAGAAATTTGTGATTTAACTGCCTTCATATTCAGTATTGAGCATTACAGCAGAGCCGTCACTGCTCAATGTGACCTGGCCAGCAACAAGCTTGCTTAACCTCTCAAAGGTACCACAAAGTTGATTTACTCTGGGAAAAGAAAAGATTGTTGCAAGAGGTATATAAACCACATTTCCACTGACAAATGATTCCATGCTTTTTTCAACAGCCAGTTTTCCAAGATCTTCTGAGAAGCAGTTCACTGAAGGCTGGAATTTGGATTTTCTCTCAGTAGGATCATCATTATACTCCCCATGTTCTGACATTAAACAGTTCAGCAGACTTTGCTTAATGATTTGTGCTGTGAAAATAACTTCTCCAACCACTGCATTCTGCAGGTACTTCTCATCCTCAAGACTTGGATACACTGCTTTGAAGACCTTTATAGCACACGACAACACAGAACAATATTTGCTTGTCAAAAAGAGCTTCTAAAATGTGAACATGATTTTTAATTCAATCCTGTTTTGCTTACTACTTTAAACATCTTCACATAACAGAAACACTAGACAATATGACTATGTATTACAACTACAATGGCAATCAGGTTAACAGAACTTTAAAAAAAAAAAATCAGGTTTATATCTTCAATCTATACTTGTAGATCAAGCAAGGTGAAAACCTGCAATTCTTCAATTCTTTTTAATCACTCTCTTCTTTTCCACATTGCTTATTCTAAGACTCTGGTAACAGTTCCACATCTACACAGATTCTAAACTACTTCTGAACTGTGATCTGGAAACCAGGATTGCAGCTCTGTCTTTCATTCTGCTTCCAGAGTAAAACATTAAATATGCTCTCACAGATGCAAAAACTGATAAAAAAAGCCCACCTCTAACATCAAAATCTGTGAACTTGTACTGTGTTTTACACTGAGATTAACTCCAAGGCAGTTAAGGAAACTAAGCAGTCTTATTCCCATTAGTTTACTAGGAAGTGCCAAGTGCCTTATACCAACACACAACCACTGAAGCTCCAGAGTCTATAACTCTGTCCTCTTACTTTCTGATTATTTCTTGAAATGTTGATTTATTAACATGAATTACTTAAATAAAAACTAAATTGATACTAGACATTTGATGAGATATAAAAGTCTTAAAGGACACCGATGTCAAAATTCCCTCCATAATGACAGAATACAATAAAACCAACTTCTAGTACATGTGAGTCACCTAGACATATATCAAAGTTTGATGAACATTACAGACCACTTAATTCTATTAAGGGCAGTAGATGACAGGTAAAATATCAAATGTACAGAACATCTTCATAGCTTGGAAACTATTAACAGACATTCACCTATCTTCACATTTCACTTCAGGTCACAAGTCACTCGAATATACATATGACTCTTTAAACAAAGAGAAATACTAGAATATGTTCACTGAACAAGTAATTTAAGGCCTTCTAAGATTCAAGGAAAAAAACAACCCAATGAAACAAATCAATATACTTTGCTTTTTGCATTGTTACTTCACGTTATCCTCCAAAAAAGAAAAAAATTCCCTTTGATTTATACCACATGGCACTTAGATGCACTGGGCTTTGTTGGTGTGACACACTGCAACACACAGCAGAGGACTACACACAAAAAATTATCTCATGTTATCTAAAGGTAAAGCCATTTAGCACTAAATAGCAAAAAGGTTTCATGTGTACAGCCAGAGAACAGGTTTCTTGGAAAGATCCCATGCCTCTACAAAAATTAGAACTCTCTACCTGAATACAGAGAATAGGGTGTAATAGCAAATGTTAACAAGTACGGCAAACCACACAAAATAGGTCCTGTCAATCCAATTTCTGGGAAATGCCTTGTTTCTCATAATATATTTGATAAGACTATGCATTTTTTGCAAAACATACACCACTATGGTTTTTATTTTTTAGGTACCTAAAAAAAACACCTGTTAACACCAACAACCACATGATGAAAGTAAATATATGATTAGAGGAAAAACTAACTGTCATAGAATGCCTGGAGGAAAGAGAATTTTCATTCTAAGGACATCACTATGTTAATGTAAGAATGATCATCCATATTGCTATTTGGCAAATAACCTAAAACTGTAAGGCCTTTATACAACTAGAAACACAAATCATGTACTTAGGACTTCTGATCTGACTGTGTTAATCAGAGCCAAGATTGGATAGTAACAGTAGTCCACAGTAAGAAGACCTTTACAGCCAGGTCATACTGAATTTTACCCTTTGGTCACCCTCCTAAAGGGGGAAAATAATACTTACGGTTTTGTAAACTGTTTCAGTGGGTTTCTCAGACTGAGTGGATACACTGGTTTGAGGATATTTTTTAACAAACACACCTATTTGAGTACAAAACCCAACATACTCCATTCCTCTTGGTGGGTGCCCCACACCAGTAAATTCCACCAAGTAGCCATGGCGTCTAGCAGTCTCTAGAGCCCTAAGAAACACAAAACATTCTGGTCATACTAAACATTCATGTTTTAATGTGATAAAGATGCATTCTCTAACAGAAGCAAGACCCCGAATGCTTGAGCAGATTTTTTTTTTTAAGCAATATTCACATGCCTGAAGATAGGCACTGTCAAAATCTGCTGAATCAGAGCTGTAGTTATATGCCTACCCCAGCCTGACTCATTTAGTACTGGTAATTTAGGAAACCAAACATGACTTATTTCTCAAGTATCTGCATAGAATATGCATGTTCACAGCTACATACTGTCTTAAATACACTGAAAGCAAGCTAAAACCTACCAATTTTAGAGAACTATTTGAAAAGAACTCTTAAAAGACATACACACCACAAAACAAGAGACCAATTGATAGGTAAGAAAAGTGAGGTTTGTTGCAAATGCACAAAGAATGAAATCTACCTAATCAAGGTTACAACAGTGTACATGACACCTAAATGAAAACCAATCTTCTAGTACTGCACATTAGCCAGTGTGAAAAAAGCGATGGGGCAGGGAAGTAAAATGGTACTACCTACTCAAATCATTCTCCAAAAAACTCATTCAGCAATATCAATATTTTTTAATTCACATGCATCCAAAAGTAGAACCTAAATTTACTTTAGGTTGTATAAGCAGTCTCTAAGGTATTCATCCTTTAGCTAATAATGCAAGCAGGTTTTAGGATCATTATTTAGGGGAAAATATACACCTCAAGCTTTGCAGAACTACATAGCCAAAAACCACTCCATGCTTCAAAATCTATGGCAGAAAAAAAAACCACTAATTTAAGGGGCAAATTTTTTAAGATTGTTTATAACTAAAAGTTAGCTACTGAGGTGTGGCATCCTTTCTGTACCATGTATTTTCTTCCACAACTGCCTGACAGCTGAATGATAACACAGGATATATATCCTATTCCCTCTGTTTTTATTTCATCTACTGATACTAGACTAACATACAGCTCATGCAACCCTCTGTTCTGTACAGATGCTTTGCATAGAATCTGTCATTGAGCAAAGACCCACTAAACTATCCTGAACCTCATTCAACATGCTATGCTACTATGAATATTTGATACATCTATTGGCATGCTCTTACAGAAAGATCTGGACTAACAGAACACTTTGATTATACCAGCATACGTATTGAGCACATTCCTTGGGGTTTTAGGAAGCATTTCTATAGCAGGCTATTATTATGTACAAAGGTTAATTATTACTTTACACTTTAAACATATTCATTGTAATTAAGGCATACAAAAACGTTTAAAAAATAGTAAAAAAATAAAAGTTTTAAACATTTTTTGCAGATTATTTACAGTCAAAGAAAGACAACGACCATCTTAAAATACAAGCCCCACAGAATATGCTTACCTGTTTATAACAGCAAAGAAATGTTTCACCAAATCAGGTGTGAAAGTCCACTGACACCAAACCACATATACAAACCATTTGAAAACGCATAGCTAGTCCTTTCTCGCACTACTGAACACTCAAAGCTGGGTGGCTGTGATATTCAGCAAGCTTACCAGCGTTGAAACTGCAACTGTGTCCATTCAAATTTGTGGTCTGGATCTCTGAATAACTTCACTCGTGGAAGTAAAGGGTTGAATTCAGAATTTGGAGTACTGATAACAACCCTGCTTGGAGCCATGAAACCAAACACCACTTCAGGAAACTCCTTCAGTTCCGGTTCTTCCAGGTGCTCTATTCTGTAAAGGATAAGTTTATGTATGTGTTTAAGAACACCCTACTATATCTTAATCTTCTTAACAACCAGTCAAAAAACCCTAAACCCGTATCTGTACCTCAGAATTTTAAGCCTAGCACTGCAATAGTGGCATTGTCACAGACAAAAACCTCTAAGCTGCCACTCAGCCACAGTGCCAATTTCCTCCTTCATTGTGTACTTTTTCCATCAATATCTTTTCCTGCCATTAAGCTAGCACCACATCAGTTTCTTAGTATGCTTAATTTAAGCACAAGTTGGAAGATGACATACTCTGCTACTCTCTTCATTGTAAGGTTTGATCAACTCTGTTTCTAATACAGACAAATTCCAAACCAGGCCCTAATGAACTTAGTATGTTGGCTTAATACTCACAGTTCAATGCACGTTACCAAGTCAAAACCAAGCATGCAAGGATCTTTATGGGCAACTGAACCATGATGCAAGGTAACAGTTAGGGATCTTTCACGTGGTTGCAAATAATCACCAGGAAGAGGAAACAACCTATGCCTACAAAGGTATTGAAAATACAATGTTACAGAAAGGACCTTAGGGCAAGATAAACTGTGCATGCAACTGAACTAGCTAACCCCTTACACAGACCCCTTGCAAATCTCAAAAAGGTTAACAATTTTACAGGGATTTACAAAAAGCAAAAAAACTTTCTAATACAAACACTTTTTATGACTATCTACAGCGAGACAGAAAATCCAGCAGTTGTCCTTTACCTACAAAACTTTCTGCTGTACTCTCAAGCTATTTGGAAAGATGCTTGTAATTTTTACAGTAGCTCAGCTCTAGACCTAGTTTAGAGGAATTTGGGGGAAATTATCAGGCAATCATATTGACTGATTTTCCCAAATAAAAACAACTAAAATGTATGAGCAAATTTCATTCTGAAATACTGCATCACACAAAACACACAAACATGAAATGTAATACCTCGCAGTCCCGGGGTAATGCTTGGACTTGATCATCTTAAACGTCTCTTCTAACATAGCTGATTCTACAAATTCCATGGTACTCAGATAACATGCAAATTTGTAAAGTACCTTCACAAATGCTGTATTTCCCATGTGTACACAACACACCTTCAGGGCTATTCCATGACTTGGATCTCTGCCACGTAAGGTGATGTTAAGCACATCTACAGCCAGCTGCACGGACACAGGTGCAATGTAGCTAACAACAATAGATATCTCTTCATTTGCCAAGCTGGTATTTCCACATTTACCCTTATTTTGACTTTCTTTACATAAAACAACATAACATGCCACCAGGTCAAGCCAAACACAAACCTTAAATTAACAAAATGCAAGAGCTTACATTTTCTCTTTCATTACACTTCCACAGATATCTACCCCAGCTAACACTTCAATGCAACTGCAGAATTTCAGCATACAAAGAAGCGTGCAGTCAGCACATCCTAAATCTGCCACCTGTAAATTAGATATTAATGTGTCAATGCTGTGCATTTCCAAATAATTTCACCGTTCATAACAAATTTTCTATTTATTTCAAAGTAACTCTTTAATGATAAAATGAAGCATTTCAAAATCATAACCAAAATGTACAGCTGCAAGCAGGATTTGAAATTTCTTTGAAGACCCAACAAGATACTTTAAATGCATTAACTTTCTGTTTTTACAGCTATAAGCAAGCACACATAGAACATTCCACTGACTCTGAAGATTATCTTCCACATGAGTAACAATAAGGTATTGTTTCAAGCATGAAAGCTGTGGCAGTTTTCATGTTCACTGTTTTTCACTGGACTGCTCTCCATCCAAACCACTGTGAATACAAACCAAACCCCACTGTTCTTTCTCAGTCCAAAGTCAAGGTTGGAGGGCTCAGCTCTCGATGCACAAGTCATGAGTTGTTTCTATTCAGCCTACCTCTAACCCTGTAGGTAAACAAAGTTTACACACACACAACATTTTACATCCCAAGTCAGAAAATTCAAACACTTAAACAAAAATGCAACATTCATTGTTATATCTAAAAGCAGATCTCAGTGCCATGACCTCTACATCTATGAATACATAAATGCACCGCTACAGTATTTCTCATAAATTTCTTGCATGCTCCTTAAGACATTAACACCATTTTCAAACCTATACCTGAAGACAGAGGTATTCTGCAACTTCTTGCATTTTCAGAGGATGGACACATTAGAAAAGAGTGGACAATACACAACACCATGTATATAGTTTAACTTACTTAAATTTTCAAAATGAGTATCAAAACAACAGCCCTGGGGGGCATAAGGGTTATTACTGAAATACCTAATGACCTAATGTCTTTTTTTTTTGCCTTAAATTTTTAACATAAAAAGACAAAACATACCAACCTTCTTAGGTTTGTATTTCCCCACTAAATCTTTAACAAACTGGTAACGTTGTCTGTACAAAGGAGGTGTAAATTTAGTAAATCCTGTAAACTTTTCTTCCTTAAAGCTCTTATCCATAATATTTTCCTAATACTGAAATAGAAAGGTAACACTTATCTTTCAGATTACTTTACAACATATGAAATTACAGTTGGCTGTTTTCAGCAATTCATAATTAAGCAGAGGTAGACTTGATCCCCATTCTATCCAGAGAACGTCAAAACCATAGCATTTAGCAAGATTAGGCACTAGCTGCTCCCTCCACATATGATGCAAGTAAGGTTTTAATGAACCATTATATATATACATGCAATCATTAAACAAAGTTACATAATTTATCACACTCTATCCAGCATACCTACCTAGTGTTTACACAGCTACAGCTTATTTCATCTTCCTTAACTCTTTTGGCAGGAGAGGAAAAATTGGTAATTTCTCACTGAGGTGCCTGCTTTCTTGCCTCTCACCTATTATTTCCTTTATCTTGCAACTCAAATTACTTTGTATCTAGAATTGTGTACAGGCAGCTCTATACAATTTCTACAATGGAACAGTCAGTAGAAAATACCTGAATAACTACTATATAGCACAAAAAGCAATGCTCTGCTGGGCCTCAGCTTTAGATTTACTATGAGCTAAATCTTGTTATTAGTGCCTGTATTTTATAAATTAACATAATCCAACACGGCAGTAAGAGTCACAGCCGTTAGTGCAATTCCAACTCTCCCACCTTTTACTAAAAACTACACTCCAATGCACATAAATATTGAACAAGAAATACCCCCACTAAACTTAAAAATAAGGCCTTAATGAACGATGACGGAGCTCCCACGGGAATCGCATTAAGTAAAAGACCGTGGGCACAGAACTCCCAGCTCACCACCGGCTCTAATGAACACCAGGCTCAGCTAACCAAAGCAACTAGGCTGAGCCTGCGGACAACGTGAACACACCATAAGGTCCTACATATGCAAATGTAAATCTATTTTAAATATATATATATATCAAAAGAAGAAGCGGCCTCAGTGTTCGGGACAATCACACATCTCCCCAGGAGCAAAATAAGCCTGCTGAGGAGCTCGCTCGCAAGCGCCCACCTCCAGGCCCCTACACGCTCCACGCCCGTAGGCTGCGCCGCGGCCCTCCCCAGACTCTGCACAAGCTCGGCCGCGGCTACCTCAGCCCTCGCCAGTGCTGCCTCAAGGCAGCCACGCCAGCCCGGCGCTGGCCCTCCTGTCTCTCCAAAGGGCCACCCTCCGCAGCGGCCACAACGTGTATGGCGGAGCGACGCTGGCCTTCCCCGGCCTCTCGATAGCTTTCCTTTCAACCCCTGCCCTTGCCTTTAGGCTCCCCCGCACCCCTCCCTCCATTTTCTCTCCCTACCTCGAGGAAGCAACCACCTACCCTGCGAAGAGAGCGTGCGGGAGCCGAGGGCAGGCTCTCGCCAGAGCACCTAAGAAGGGGCGCCTGTGTCAAAAGCTCTCCACCCCGTGCGGGTTCTCGCAGTCACACCTACTCCTTCGGGCGGAAGCGCCTCGACTCTCCGTGGTCGTCGGGAGCGCTGGGAAACCGCTACCCTTTAACAGGGAGCTAGGTGTTCCCATCCCGAGCTGCAGCTCGCCAGAACAGTGCGGCAAAACCTCTATTTACCTCTTTTAATGTAGGGTGGTGTCCTCTAATGTTTAACGGAACAGGAGCACAAGTGTGATGAGGAACACCTGAGGGAATTGGGGCTCTTTAGTCTGGAGAAAAGAAGGCTCGGGGGGATCTTACCCTCTCTACAACTACCTGAAAGGAGGCTGTAGTGAGGTGGGGGCTGGTCTCTTCTCCCAGATAACAAGTGATAGGACAAGAAATAACGGCCTCAAGCTGCACCAGTGGAGGTTTAGATGGGGTATTAGGAACAATTTCTTCACAGAGCCAGTGCTCAGGCACTGGAACAGGCTTCCCAGGGAAGTGGTGGAATCGCTGTCCCTGGAAGTATTCTAGAACTGTATAAATGAAGCCTTTAGTGACACAGTTTAGTGGTGGACTCGGCAGCCCTGGAGTAAAGACTGGACTTGATCTTAAAGGTCTTTTCCGACCTGGATGATTTTATCATTACCAGCACATGAGCACCCAGAGATCCACCTGTGCCAGCTTCCCTCAGTGTATTAAAAGGTGACTGGAAGTAGTGGTGGCCACTAATTTTTATACTAAAAAGGCAAAATCCTCTTCCTGATCGTGCTGGTACTGCCAGGTGCTGTATGCCTCAGTACAGCTCCTATGCTTGCAGATGGATTTGTTACTCTCTATAATGGAAACTTAGGGCATTGCAGTGGTGCTGACATGAAGTCAAAGTGTCCTGTAAAGATCAGTGAGGTAGACTACAAACAACCCAAAGCAAATCAATGTATTTTGCAGCAATTTATGGAGTATTTTCTACACTGGAGCAGGATTTGTCCCTCAAAGAGCAAGCAGCTGTGTGGATGAACAGTGAAACCAGGAAGGAAAACATGGAGCTGAATTGCTTGTTACTTTTTCTGTTCACAAGTATGTAAAGCATTTTACTAATTACAGGGTGGGCCTGCTATACAAAAAGAGTTGTGCATTGACTCTGTCCAGGATTTAAGGGAGGAGTTGGTTGGTAGAAGTGAGGGCAGAGAAGATTTGTTAGTCAGATTATATTTCAATGCTTTCTGGTTTAGTTTTCATAAAATACTGAAAGTCTTTATGCTGAAACCTGCCTGTGATTGTTTAACCTTGACTCTTGTTTAATGCTAATAAATTTTACAGGATGTGGCCTACACAGAGTATACATAAGTAGCTTACAGCAGTCTAGCTATCTTGTTTACTCAATAGCTAGGAAGCCTATCTAAGTGTGCTTTCAAACTGGTAATCTAGCCACTTTCAATTAGTTCAAGATACTGGAATGATTTCATTCTGTTTGAAGTTGTTTTTTAGGTTTTGGAATATAACAGCAATTTTCTTTATATTATTTTTGTTTTATGAGTAGTAGAAATAGGGAACCACCCATACAGTTTCACAGTTGGGGTCTTTCTCTGTTACAACAGTGATGTGCTAACAGTGTATGAAGCAGCCTATGAGTTGCTATTTCAGTGGGAGTTTGGCTTGCAAAAAGGGTTTAAATACGTAAAGATCAGTAATGTTACAACACATATAGAGCAACCTTCTTTTAAAGTTTATATATAACACCTGGTCAATTACTTTTGTGGGATTTTTTCTCAACAGGCTTTAAAGATCTGCATAACCCAATCTGGCTCTAAGCAGAAACTATGTGTAGAGAATAATTCCCATTAAATGCTTTTGAGTAGTCTAGTAAATTGATTTTAACTTTTTAATTAGATCCTTGCTTTTTAGCAAAGAAAATAAACTGTTATTGAACTAAGAGTATGAATACCTTGCACAAGAAAAGATAGGTTCAAGTCTCTTTGTTTTATAACGCAGTTCTTTTTGTCTGAATCACAGTTTAATCCTGGACTATCATTTAGTACTTGTGTCTTAATTAGACAATCCATAAACTGTGGATAATATCTGTACCTCAGATATTGTAAAGTTTATTAATAGAAGTCTTTAATATCCTGGATGAAAATTATATAGATTTCGGTACCCTGTAAAATTCTACTCATAATTCAATATGACATTATTAAGAGGAAAAAAAAAGGGAAAGAATAGTAGTGAAGTTATACAGTAAAGTAAATTTGCAACAAATTGTGAATTCACACCATTTCCTTTGTAAGACCTCACCCAAAAATGTACCACTGTAAGTAAAACCTTCAGAATTATCAGATGTTTAATTCTCCATTATCAAACAATGTAGTCGTAGAAATTTCTTTTTTCATTGTTCTGTATTGGGTGGCAAAACTGACTAGAGATCGCATCTTTTGAAGATTGGCAGTATGAAAGAAATAGCCCTATTAGTAGTTTTAAGCTGCACAATCTGCTTTGACACCAGAGAATCTGCTCTTCTTGCTAGAAAAAAAAATTTGAAAAAATATTGTGATTATTCCTCATAACATAAAATTTCTGCATTCCCTCACCAAAAAAAAAAAAAATCATTTAGTATGTCTAAAGTCTGGTTTGGTCCATTGTGTCACACATCTCCCTCCTTCATGCAGTGGTATATCTACTTTAAGTCTCACAACATCATAGAATAATTTCTGCTGGGAGGGACCTTTAGATGTTATCCAGTGTACCCCCTGCTCAAACAAGGTCCAAGTTGATGAGGTTCCTCAGAAACTTCAGCTCAAATGTATTTCTAACATTGCAATCTGTAAATTCAAACTGAAAGTTCAGGTTGTATTTAGTTAAGTATGTTGACAAATTAAGTAAGCTATTTTTAGAGAAGCCTGTTACTTTTGTACCATACGAAGAGCAAAAAAGATATGACTATACTGAATAAAAGCATCTAACGGTAGAAAGTCATGAATCAAGAAATTCTAAACTGCTAAAACTTACTTTATCCTTCAGTGTTTGGGATGAGAAAGAGAACTGTATGCAGTTCTTTGACTTTCCCTTTGAAGCTGCAGTGCACATAATTAAATGTGATAGCAGAAGGCATCTAATGCAGCACTACTGCCAGAAGACACTACACTGATATTTGACAGAAAAATACATGCAGCAATATTACTTAACCTATAATTCAAGAGCTAACAAGCATTCCTCTCACACCAGGTTCAGAGGATGTTCAGTGACTAGGTACCAATACTTTTCTCCTCAGATTCAACTAACAGAGTAGGCATGTTTGAGAAAATTCAGAATTCATCTGTTGAGACTCTTGCATACAGCACCATCCTCTTACTTTTTTATTGTTATATATATAGTTCCTTGCAGTCCTCCTTGTTCAAGCATGTGTTTGTTTTGTTTTGGCTCTGTTCTGTATAAAGACCAGCTGGCATGCTTGAGGAAAGAAAATCTCATTTTGAGCAAATGGCTTCCTGGTTCGCAGCTGTAAAGGTTTCAGCATCACCACCAAAAAGGATCTGCATAAGAAGAACAAAAATGTCATACAGAGGAAAACCACTTGAGGTTTGAACCATACTGACTACATATTCCAACAGCAAAAGATAAACACATGAAAACACAATTTGGGTAACATAAATTACAACAGAAGTACAGGCTGTCCTGAAGTGATTACACAAGACATTAAGGATGTGCTCAGAGAGTCAAGGATACCCTAAAAAAACACACCAGAACCACTCAGCTTCAAAGTCACTACTCTAGCTAGCTGTCTCCAGAGCAAGATTACCTCACTGCTACAACACTGCCGCAGAATATATGGACCCAGTCAGAAATCAATATGATCAGACAAAAGCCGTTTACTACAAAGCCTTAACTCTGTACATAGTATTTCTTACATGCACTTACAGTGATTTGGCGTATTATGATTGGATACCTGTCTTGAAGACCCTTAGTGACTAACACAATTGGTTAAGCACAGGTGTAAGAACTTGACCTCGAAAGCTTGCCAACAGTCCACAGTTCTCATAACTCAGTGAATTCCAGCTTCTTCTTATCTTGCTTGCTTAAGCTTCCTCAGGCCTCTCATGGCCTTGCTGTGTCTTTCAGGATTATTCAGAGTTTATGTACCAATTATCCATTCTCCTGTTAAGAACACTGCCTCCACATCTCCCCCTTTTTGATGTATGTTTTGAATGACCCTACTTGAGCAGGGGATCTGGGCTAGATAATATCTCCAACATATGCCAACTAGAGGCTGCTGGGCCTGCCCCTTTTTTCTTCTGTATGGCTCTCTGATAACAAGGGAGGCCATCTTTCACATCAAGGTCTGGCATGGCATGTGTCCCCACCGCTCCACGCCTGCTGGGTTGCAGCCAACAGCGGAGCTAAAGGTTCTTCTTGGTGGCAAACACAGAGGCCAACCCAGTCTTGCCCTTGATTGTGGTAGCAGGCATTTGGTCAGCCTCTGTCCTTGCACCTTGTTGTCAATGCACAGTTTCACCTGCTTCATCCAATAACAAGTTGCTACTACAGCAAGGCACACACAAATTTACATTAGCAGAGTAACTATTACAGGGTGCAGCACCATGTTGAAGATGCTGATGGCAGTGAGGGACTAGCCAAAGAAATTCCTTAGTAGTGGAATTCTCCCACCCTCTTAATTTGTTCCATTACCTGCTTTATAACACTACCATTGTATTAAAATCTTTCTAGCTTTTGCCTTAGCATTTTCTAGCAGCTACTGCAAATTTCCATACTCTAACATCTCTTTTACAAGTGACAAATCTATACAAGGTGTAGTTTCTTATTAGCAACTGGCTTGTAAATACAGGTGGTTTTATACACAAAATCACAGCCTCTAATAATAGCTACTTTACAAGCACACGTATTCAGGATTTTACTTTTCGGTTGCCCCCAAGTGATGTTTTGCAATCATTTGTTTTTCTCTTCCTCCATCTCATTCTGCTTGGGGTAATCACGGTCAGCTCCTGTAGCTGAGGCATCAGGTTCCTCCATTCGTCTGTCCAGCTCATGGCAAGGCTTGACAAACTTTGCAGGCAGTCACCATGGACCTGTAGGCAGGAGGACACAAATATACCCCCTCCTCCAGGTTATCAGTTCTTGAGAAGCAGACAGGTTAAACTGCACATTGTTAACAGCTGAGGAGTTTGCTGCATCATTGCCCTTTTTGTTTGTTTGTGTTTTTTTCACTCCTCTGCTCTGGCGTCCATCTTGGCCATTCCACTAGTGGAGCACCTGGAGCCGAATCGGAGGGCAGCTTTTGTTTGGTTTTTTTTTCAAAGTCGCTCACTCTGCTTTGCACGGCTACAAACGCCGGCCTGCTCGGCAGCAGCTACAGCTGCCTGCCTGCTTCAGCAGCAACCATAAATACCTGCCGGCAACTGCGCTTTTGCATTAACCCTTTCTTGCCCGAAATGTTAAACTGCTACCCGTTAAAAACTTTTACATGAACCCAACAAAAAAATACACAGAACACCGTCTGCCCTCAACACACACACACACACACACACACACACACACACACACACACATGGGATCCCACAAGCACACTCCACACAACTACAATATTTGAAGCACAAAATCCAGACAATCATTACTCCCACTACAGTCCCACGTACAGAACATGGCACAAGGACCCTGTGGAGATTAACAGGAAACCAACTCCGAGAAGCATCATCGCAGTGCGAAGTGGCAGGCTCAACCTTAGCGGGCGTCCCCGCAGAGGCTCTGCCTCCCCCACATTGCATGAGGCCTGGGCTTTTATACTGACCAAAATGCACACTCATTTCGACACAGGTGGCCAGCTTATGTTGGAAGAAGTGGCCAACAATATCTATAAAGGTCTCCAAAGGTCGATAGAAACATGGACATACTTATATTTACCAACTTCTAGTGCATGAGTATCACAGAGAGACTGTATCAAATGAGTTGTATATGGGGTCCCAAGTCCACGGTCTGTCACAGTATGCCCAATACCCCTGATAAGAACATACGAGAGACCTTCCCACCACCGGAAAAGTACACAATACGTCTGTATCCCACGCTGGTCTCGCTTCCCTGGAGGTTGGGGGGGGGGGTGGGGGGGGGTTTGTTTTTTTTTTCGGTTTTTTTTTTTCACTTTAACGTAAAAAAGGTTGCTCCCTTCACTTTAAGAAGGACTGAAAACATCCGTAAAACAGATGTCCTAAGCTCAAATTTCAATTCATTCAGTCACTGACAAGGGGGGTGTCCTGGCTCTCCTTGGGCGGTGCTAACTCTTTCGGGGTTTCACCCACTGAGCTGGCACCCACCGCAGACCAGAATCTGTAATTACACACATATAACCTCGACCAGTTAGTTTTACTTCCGCAGGACCTTTCCAAATGCTGGTTTCCAAATCCTTGTACTGGACCAGAATACCCGGAGTTTTAGTCATATAACCTGAACCTAATGCCTGACCATGTATTATAGCAGGGGTGTCATTAAAGTCTCCTGTCAATCACAAAAATTCATAACATATACAGCTTTCTGTATCCTTGCTACTGGTGTAAGTCCTTCTTCCCCCGTTTTTTGTTTTTCCCAACAACTGTTTCAAAGTTTGATGTGTTTGTTCAATAATAGCTTGTCCTGTAGGAGAATGAGGAATACCAGTGATACGAGAAATACCCCAAGTATTCACAAATTTAGAAAGTGTTGAAGAGGTATAGCTAGATGCATTGTCTGTTTTTAGCTGTAAAGATACTCCCGTAGCTGCAAAACAACCACGTAGATGTATGATCACATGGCATGCAGTCTCACCAGCCAGGGAAGTGGCGCAGACAAAGTGAGAAAAAGTGCCAATAGTAACATGGACATATTTCAATTTCCCAAAAGAAGGTACATGAGTAACATCCATTTGCCAAAGCTGAAGAGGCTGGAGGCCTCGAGGATTGACTCCAAGGCCTATACCTACTCCTTGGCCTTGACAATCAGGACAAGATTGCACAATGCCTCGGGCATCTGTTAGGGACAGTCCAAACTGTTGAACTAACATTTTTGCTGATTGATGGAAGAAGGCATGGGATGCTCAAGTTTGTTGAAAGATATTTACAGAGGGTCCTGCCCATGCTGGGGCAACTAATTTATCCACTTTGTTATTGCCTTCACTAAGGCTTCCTGGAAGGCCTGAATGACTGCGAATATGCATAATAAAATATGTACATTTATCAGTATTCACAAGATGTAATAAGGTTTTTAACAAGATCCACAACCTGTGATTAGCGACTTCTTGTAAAATTGCCCTTTCTATACATTGAACAATGCCTACAACATATAAAGAATCACAGACAATATTAAGAGGGGTGTCAGGCCATTGCTGAAATACTGCAATAACAGCACTTAGCTCTAGTGTTTGTAATGAATCAGAAAAATGACTAAGTATCTTCTGCTCTTTCCAAACATCATCTGTTTGCCAAACATATCCGGCTGTGGGACTGATTTTGCTTGCATCTGTAAAGACAGTTAATCCTAAAACAGGTTTACTAGAATAAAAGGTAACATCTTCAAACTGATTATTCTTTAGCATTGTAAAAATCTTATGAGGTGGAAAATGTATATTAAGAGGAACAACAAAATCTATCAGAGCAGACTGAAAAGCAGAGCTAGATTGTTGTGCCCGGTCTAACCATACCCTGGTAAGTGGCAAACAAATTTGTGATGGATCACAGCCCATAATTTCCTGACAACGTGAACGACTTCATACAATCAAAAGAGCAAATACTTCTAACCGAGTAGTTACAGTTTTATGTAATCGATAAGGCAGGAAAATCCATTCTAAAATGCATAAAGGATGAGTCTTTTGAAGATCCCACTGTGCTAATAGACTAAATGGAGGATACTCACTGTTGACAATAAAAAGAATAACCTGTAAATCTGGATTCAATTGAGAAGCATAAGAGGTAGTGATTTTGTGTCGTCGCACAGGGTGGCTTCACACTCACATTCAAGTTTCCCAACGGGGTTCCATCTTTTTTAAACTTTGAACGACATTCAATTGTCTTGTGGCCAAATGTGTCACATTTAATACATTTGTCTGCAAAACCAGTAACACCACCCTGAGGGGGGTGGGTTGCTGAACTAATTTTCTTTACAGTACACTGCTTTTTAAAGTGTCCCATCCATCCACAATTATAACATCTCATACCTTTAGTACCCCCATGATCACCCTGACCTTGTTGTAGAAGGGGTTTAACAGCAGCGGCGAAGGCAGTAGCCATGTATCCAGCCTTTTCCTCTGCTGTGCCCACTTTAGAACATGGATCCATCATTTCCTGAAGACCAGCAGATTTTGGCAAACCCTGCAAAATACACTTACAAGCAGGGTTAGCATTTTCCATAGCCAGAGACATAAGCATCGATTCTTTAGCATTAGATGCCAGATCAATACTCTTTTCAATAGCCTCTGTCAATCTGTCAATAAATTGTATATATGGCTCAGTTGGTCCCTGCTTTACTGATGTATAGGAAGGATTAGGTTTCCCTGCTTCTGGCACAGCTTTCAGAGCAGCTAAAGCCAATTGCTGTGCTTGCTGTAAAATTTCAATTTTCATATGAGCTCGTACTCCATCAGGGTGAAATTGTCCCTTTCCCAGTAACATTTCAGATGAAACACCATGCAAAGGGTGATGAGGATTACACTCTGAATTCTTATCTGCAGCTCTTGCAGCAAGCTCCTCAAGCCCACTTTTAAAATGTAGGAGCTGTGAAGGAGTTAATAAAATTGCAGCCCCTCTGAGACAATCATTTGGAGTTAGAACAGTACTAGAAAAGAAAGCAGATAACATTTGCTGTGTATATGGGGAAGACAACCCATACTGAGTAATTGCTCCCTTAATTTCTTTCATAGCTTTCCAGTCCATAGGAGTCCAGACAGACTGTCCCTGAGTATTTATAATAACAGGAAATGCAGCGGGAACATCTATCGGTAAAACAGTACCGTCTATGACTGCATCCTGAATGCAGCCTCGCCATCTCATGGCACTCGGATTAACTTTATTAGATGTAGGAGTCGGTGCTAACGGCACATCACAAGGACTGATCTTATCTGGTTTTCCCGGTTTTTCTGGGGCTTGCTCCCTCTCCTCCCCCAATTTGTCCAGACGGTCTCGCAAGTCCTGCAATTGTTTATCTAAGGATTTTGTCCATTGTCCCCAGTCCCACTCATTTTGCAGCTCCGGTGGGAGCGATGCAAGCGGTGGTGTAGGTGGCGGAGGTGGGTATTTATTCGGAGTTACACTCTCCTCCTTCGGAGACTCCCACCCCGGCAAAAAATCGTGATTAAGTTTAGGGGCAGTACCAGCACGAAAAGGGTTGACATCAGTTTGTTTTGGCTGCTCAGTAGCCGCTACTGGCTTCCGAGTATCAGCTGGAGCTACCGCCGATAAAGGTGCTGTCGACACAGAATAGGGGAAAGGCGGAGGGTCCTCAAACATTCGTATTTTACGGCGCGCCGTTTTTTGGCCAGAATGTTTTGTGCCCGAAACAGGCGACACTACCATGGCTGTAGCGCCGGGTGCTGAATCTAATGTAGGTGCCGACCCCTGCTGTTGTGAAGGCGAGTCAGCGAGCGCTGTAAAAGCAGATTTTTCCGCCTCTTTCTCAGCCTCTATTGCGGCTAGAGTCTCTTTCAGTAGTCGCCAGGGAGCAGCGAGAGACTTCGCCTCCTTAGACTCACAAGTAACTTCATCCCACAGGTGTGCCCCAATTTTTTCCCAAGTCCCGAGATCAAAAGCTTCATTAACCCCCTTGATCAGCTCTTTTTCTTTACTCCAGAGCAATAGTCTTTTTAACAGATTATCGTCATATTCTATCCCTCTCACTGAGAGGATATGCTGGAAGAGCTTAAGGATGGCCGTTTCTCCTTTACTTAACTGATTCCCCATCCTAACCCTCTTCCAGACCCGTCGTCTGTTACCTTATTTACACTGTGTAGTGTCTTCCGGGCTCACAAGGCTCCGTTCCGAGGCGTCTACCTCCCGATCCTGGTCCTGCCGGATCGAACCCAGCCGACGTCCCTGCGGCTCCACGTTTTCCACTTGCTTCGGTGCTTTAATTCCTTCAGCTTCAATATGAAAAACGGGGGGGAGGGGGCACGTTGGGCGCCAATCGCTGCAGAATATATGGACCCAGTCAGAAATCAGTATGATCAGACAAAAGCCATTTATTACAAAGCCTTAACTCCTTATATACTATTTCTTACATGCACTTAACAGTGATTTGGCATATTATGATTGGATACATGTCCTGAAGACCCTTGGTGACCAACATGTAATTGGTTAAGCACAGGTGTGAGAACTTGACCTCGAAAGCTTGCCAAAAGTCCACAGTTCTCATAACTCACTGAATTCCAGCTTCTTCTTATCTTGCTTGCTTAAGCTTCCTCGGGCCTCTCATGGCCTTGCTGTATCTTTCAGGATTATTCAGAGTTTATGTACCAATTATCCATTCTCCTGTAAGAACACTGCCTCCACACAACACCTCCTTAGAATTAATTTTGTGATTAGTTCTTCAATTTCATGAGATTGTTAAATGGATGTTTGCTGCCTCAAGATGGGAGTCCTGTGCTAATAAATGGTTTTGTTAATATCTTTAGCACAAGGAGGCCGGACAAGTTATTCCTAGAAAAGGGGAGTGCTTTTCTAAGCTAAATGAAGAGCTTAGATAGCAGAGCAGGCAGTTAGGGAAACTGGTAACTGTCAAAATGGGCCCTGACAAGAACACTTTTCTGACACAGTATGAGCTCTAAAGTATGTTAAAGGACCAGATTAATGAATATGAGTCACTGTTTCTCAGGTTTTCAGTTTGTAATGAAGATTGAAGATGTTCTACTTACAAGGTTTTCAACATGTAATGAAGAGTGATTATACTCTGTTTACAAGGAGGTAAATACTGCTGGAAGTATTTAAATTCAAATTCAATTAGTTTTCAAAATCAAAATATAAATAAGTTTTAAATAGTATACAATTAGAGATGCTACTTCCACAGATGCTTCCAAACCGATTTAACCTTGCATCTCTTTCCTTTTGCTCTGAGCAATGCAAAGCCCTTCTGTGTGTGTACAGTGTATTTTGTCCTAAGTTGCTGTTACTTTGGCGGACTTTCAGTTATTTTATTGCATATTCATTCCATGTTCAGAATCTCTTGGCAATTCCTGTACATTCGGTCTCCCTTTTCTACTTCTGGTTAAAGCTTGACACCAAAGTTTGTAACTAGTTTTTTAATTTATTATTTTGCTTTTGCAAAAGAGTGTGCAGTTGAAAACCTGCTGGAAAACTTTGAATAATGAGTTAAACGTAAGCCTCGACATATTTCATTTAAGTTTCAGGCAAAACTGAAGGAGTTTATCTTTTGTTTCCTGTTGGCATTTAACAGTTACTTTCTTAGATTTTAATGCTTTCAAATGCGTTAACCTAATTCTCATTGTTCCGAGTCTGTATGCAGTATTACTCATTTCCGAAGGAGATGTTCAGTTTCAATTTAGCAGCACAGTCAGTTTTTTTTGGTGTATGACAAACCCTCGGAAGCTGCTCTGCCTGCTGGGGGAGCAGGCCTCATAGCGCTAGTTTTAGTGCGCCAGCTTTGCTGTACCCTGACCGCAGATAAATGCTTCCTCCCCCGAGATCCCTGCAAGCTCAACGACTTTGTCCTTATTTGTTAGCGCCGCCGGTGGTCGCTCCCCTGCTGTGCCCTGCCTTCGTTACCAACAGACGGCACGACCGACGGCCCCACTACCGCGTTAGCTAAATGTCTGGCGTGGCTTGTGGCGTTCCGGTGACGGCAGCTGTCCGACCCCCGCGCACTGTGACCGGCCGGGCCCTCCTCGCCCGAAAGAACCCCGGCCTGGCCGTTAGCGAGCCTCGGGCAAAGGACAGCGCGATCCCCACGACCCAAAAACGAGAAGGAAAAGCTGGCGACAGGTCTCGCCTCTTAGCTACGTGTGGGGCTGGCGGGTGAAAGAGAGAAAAAGTCCCCTGAACCCCCGCCGCGGGAAAGGACCAGAGGCAGAGGGGCATTCTCCCGCCCAGCGCCGCCACGCTCCGCCACGGGGATTGGCCTGCTCGGCCCCGGAAGGTGCTGCCGTCACTTCCGTGGAGTCCGCCATCTTGTCAGCGGTTGTGGGAGGCTGCGACTGCCTCTGTAGTCCGTGGTCTGGTCTGGTGTGGTGTGGCGTGGCCCGGCTCGATCGTTCGTGAGCCCTGCAGGCCGCGTGCTGCCGCCCTGCCCCGGGCTTGAGCCGCTATGGCCAACAACAGCCCCGCCGTTGGCGCTGGGAACTGCCAGGGGCAGCAGGCGGCCCAGCACCAGCCTGGTGCCATCCCACCGGCCCAGCAGCAGCTGCAGAGCGGAGCCCCCAAGCCGGCGGCCTCAGGCAAGCAGGGCAATGTGCTGCCGCTGTGGGGCAACGAGAAGACCATGAACCTGAACCCGATGATCCTCACCAACATCCTCTCGTCGCCCTACTTCAAGGTGCAGCTCTATGAGCTCAAGACTTACCACGAAGTGGTGGACGAGATCTACTTCAAGGTGAGCCTGCGGGCCGCGCCCCGGGCTTCCCGGGGCTGCGCTGGCGCTTGGCCTGAGCCTCCTCGTGGTGGGGGTTTTTGAAGGGGGAAGACTTTGGTTGCTTCTGGTTATCTTTTGCCGCGTTGTCCCTTATCGTGCTGTAAGCGATGGGAGCAAATGTATTTTTTAGTGCTTGATTGGGGTATTTAACGGTGCTGTTTTCCTTACAACACAAACGTGTTCCGCTTCGGATTTGAAATAGCGGAGTTCCAGATTATTAATTGGGCAGCGTGAGCCTTGGCAGTGGGGATGAAATGGCCGTCTGAGGACCGCGCTTTCATTTGAAGGGAGAGGGGACCCGATCTGCATGTCACTTCACAGACGGGCACTGCGCGCAGCCCAGGAGCTGCCGGCGCCCTGTAACTGCGCAGAAGTGATTTCAGCAGGAGTTTGCATGTGGCCTTCTTCCTCAGTTAGAGGTCAGGATCCCCCCCTCGCACCCAGTCAAAAACCTGTTCAGTTTAGTGCTGCTTTTGATATTAAGTAGGCAGTGCTGGGGATATAACTGAACTGTATCCGTGCACCCATGTCTTGGTTCTTGTTTGTTAGCAGGACTGAATCAGTTTTGCAACAAGGCTTCCATCAAGCCAGTCTCTCAGGTGGAGGTATGCATAATTAATACTCATCAACACAGCAACATTCTTTTTTTCTGATAATGAGAGCAAAACTTAGATAATTCAGAGCTGATGTCTTCAGTCAGCTGTGCTTTGGTGATGATTGAGGTGTTTTTGTCGGGTGAATTGATTCTGCTTGATGTTACTGTGCCAGAGGGTTTAAGTATACTTGGAAATAAAAGGTAGCCTTTTTGTCTTATTTAAGCAGGGCAAGTCTAGTTACTTTGGGCACTGTCATTAAAAATAACTTCTCAGAAGTGTTTTGAGATTTTTTTGCATTGTTCGCACCTACTTATGAAGACAGTGCTACTGTTTTTCATCTCAGTGGTAGCACTTCTCTCCTTGCCTCCGTCATTTGGAGTGGACTACTCAGTTCTCCTAATACTTAAAGTAACATCGATTGTTGACAAAGCTTCTCTTCAGTTAATTTACCATATGCTGCATATTAGATAAATCGTTATTACTGTCAGAATTGAAAGCAGCAAAGTTTATTTTTGCAGTTGATGGCCAGTGCTGAATTTTTTTTAGAAGAAACCTATTTCGAGAAAATCTGAGAGCTTCCAGTCGTTTACAGGGACAGTTTCAGGGTAAAAATATTTTATGTGATTTGTCTTCTTAGTAGTGATAGAACTTAACTGCAGTAGGTCATATAGTTCATTTGCTTGTCTCAGTGTTTCATTCCTTAAGTGTCTTAAATTGGGCAACAAATTTGATAAACCATTAAATATGTGCTTATTAATCCAATGTAAATAAAGGTTGTTTACTCAAATTGACAGTTTATTCTGTGTGCTAAATAAAGAGAAAGCTCAGCTGCTTACTTAATAGGTGTGAGGGAGAAGATAACCTGATGGTTAAGGTACTTCACTGGTGTTCAGATGATTTGAGTTCTGTTCATATTTCAAGATTTTTGAACAATTGCAGACTTTCCCTCCTTCCCCTTCCCCCCTTCTCCTTGAATGAGCACCATGCCCACTGTAGCAGCTGTATTTTCAGGTGTATTTGTTTGGGAACCAATATAAGTGCCTCATTTAAAAAAACTGAGAATGATGGGTGCTGGCTTATTGGGAGAGATGATCTTAAGTTATGCAGGCAGCTGATGATAGGGACCATCTTTGAAGGTATGGATTCTGTCCAGGTGTTTGAATATATTCACTTGTAGTTCTGGTCTTGTTTCAGTTCTCTTATCTGCAAAGTAGATGACTTTTGTCTTTATCCCCGATGTTAGCACCATGTGCATGCCTTTAACTTCATTTAATCTGTATCTTCCAACAAATTAAGCATATACAGCAGTCTTTGTAGCATCAAAACTTTAAGTACTCTTTTGTGACATTATTGTAAGGCCGCCTGTCTTTTTGTTTGTTTTCTTTTTTAACCATATTTATTTTGATTGTGGCTAATAAGTAAAAAAATGAAAGCTGCCATTGTGATAGTGTTGTACGTGATCCTTTGACTAAAAAAAACTTTCTATTTCCTGTGAGAGGCAAATGTGTAAAAAATCAGAAGGATATGCAGTATTGCTTACAAAGTATTTCTGAACTTCTTGTATGATGCAAATAATACAGGAAGTCAAGTGGATTTTGATTTCTGCAATACTGGCATCTCACAAGAAAAAAAAAACCCAGACAGTTCAGCAGCTCCAGCCGTTGGCATATCTCTGGTTTCAGGTGATCGTGCACTTAGTTTTGTTTCAAGTATTGTTAAAGCGTTTTGAATGTAAACTACACGCCACAAAATCTTATCCGAAATCCATTGTAACACTACTGTATCGTTTTTACTTGCTTTTTAAAGTTGATGTGTTGACAAAACATACTTGCTTATTGAGTCAAATGTAACTTCTCTGCATTTCACAATTTCAAATATAGCTTGAACGCTTTCATAGTTCTTAAATCCCTTGTGATTTATTGTCAAATTTGTGGGATAGTGTTGGGTAACTGTGTTTGTGCACTCGCCTCTAAATGCATTTTAAAAGACTGGAATTGGGGAAAATTTATTCAATTAGTACTTAGAAACCATTTTATCCAAGAACATCACTGCAGTGTACAGAAAAAGACCCTGTCTTTTTCCACTACACTTGATGGACATTTTTCTTTTGCCCTAATTGTAGGTGATACTTAAATCTCTAGCTAAATTCATGGAATATGACTGTGAGACTGTAGATTTTGACTCCTTTACGTGTCATCAGCAGGTGTTACTAAACTTGGTTAGGAGATACTTTAAATGAAGGTAATCGTTTGGTCTCCATAGAAAATGGTAATGATGCGATTTAGTCATAAAGTACTTGAAAGTACGTGGAGTGTAGAGTAAACATGGATGCTTGCTTTGGGGGTGGTTTTTTTTTGTTTATAAACTTAATTTGTCTAGCTATAATTTCTTAATATAATTGAAAAACCCAAATGTTTTGCTTTAATGACAAAGCAGTCTTGATCTTCAATTTTGCATAAGACAAGCTGTTTATGATTGATTAGGATATCCGTTGTTTACATTAGATTTGTATAAAACATTATGGAGATTGAAACTGTAATTTTATTTTTTCCCACCAACTCTTTCAGGTTACGCATGTTGAACCATGGGAAAAGGGGAGCCGAAAAACAGCAGGCCAGACAGGGATGTGTGGAGGGGTAAGTAGAAGTACGTGCCTTCTTACATTTTTCTGTCTGATAAATTTCTTAGCATAGGCCAAAACTTGTTTGTATGTTGGCTCAGTCCATAGATGTAACAATGTTTATTACAAAGAATTGATGTGTTCCCCATGCTTCCAGAGCTGTGGGTACAAGAAGTGTTAGTTTTTCCACATAGCTCTGTTTGCAGATATAGATTTCATCCTATGTTAGTTACAGAGTCATAGAATTCTGGCTTGGAAAGGACCTTAAGGTCATCTACGAACCCCCCTGCAATGGGCAGGGATACTTTCTGCTAGACCAGGTTGCTGAAATCCCCCTCCAGCCTGGCCTTGAACGCTGCCAGGGATGGAACATCCACCACTTCCTTGGGCAACCTGTTCCAGTGCCTCACCACCCTCACAGGGAAGAACTTCTTCCTTATATCTGACCTCATCTATAGTTCTCATATTCTTTTGTAGAGATGGGGCAATGTCTTTGACTTTTGGCGTTTTCACCTAACTTTTTTCTTCCGAAAGGTGCGCGGTGTTGGAACCGGAGGAATTGTGTCTACTGCCTTTTGTCTGCTCTACAAATTATTTACACTGAAACTCACCCGTAAGCAAGTGATGGGCCTTATAACTCATACAGACTCCCCATATATTAGGGCTCTTGGATTTATGTATATTAGGTAAGTATCAATATAATCAACTAATGATTAATTTAATATACAGAAAGCTGTATTAAGTTTCTGCATTCTTTTTGTACTTAAAGGTACACACAGCCGCCTACAGATCTATGGGACTGGTTTGAATCTTTTCTTGATGATGAAGAGGTATGTCGGCGAGGGTAATAATTCATTTTCTTTTGTTTCTTCTCATGTAACTGCTATAGATTTAAACATTCCTTGATAAGGTTTTCTGTAGTTTGAATGTTGCAATGTTATGTTCTTGTTATTTAATTCGTTAGTGCAAGAAGCAGGCCTGAGCTGGGACCTGGGTCATTAAGCTTAGGTTTCAAAGATTTAACAGAATTGTCTATTGCTTAGGATGTTTCTGTGTCAAATACTACAAAGCCACATGAAAGAGGTTTATTAAACCAGACTACAGACAGCAGGCTCTGTGAGTGTAGCTTCCATGCAGTTTTTAGAAAAAGGATTTTTAAGCAAGGTATAGTAATACCTCAGAGTGCCAAATTTGTGTTTTGCATTAATGGCTGGAACAGGGGGAATTGCTGCTTAACATAGAAGAGTGGGAAGTACATAGTGGAAACGAAGACTGACCTTGAAAAATCCACTAAAATCTCTACGGTGGTTGTTCATGCCCAGGATTTTTTCAGAGCAGAAACAACCAGCCTAATTACTGTGTAAGG